CTAAGCATGAGTGGAAGTTAACTTGTTTTCTGAAAGAAATAGAAAAGTTAAGAGTTCTGGCTATCCCTTGTAAAGTTTGTTTGACATACCTAAACCTTTGTGTTCAATAAAAATTATTTTAAGATGGTCACTCAGGAACGACACCTCTTGCATACATGTATTTGCATTGCACATTTTGAATTCCCATTTATGTATTTTTCATATATGCAATTTTGCATCTTTACATTCACATCTATACATCATACATTGCATAATATACATTGTATCTTAATATGCATTAATCACGAATCTTGGTAGTCCTTACGGAGAATCTTGTTCAAGAAATATTAAAGGTAAATTGAGGCCACCACATTCGTGCCTAGAGAAGATTAGAGAGCTAGGGATATGAAGCTTGGGGCATGCCATTAAGAACTATGGGATACCGACGAGCAAGTTACAAAATCTGATCGATTTGGGAGCACGATTTTTTAATGAGCAAGTGGGGCATTAGATTGTAATAACCCTGAATATCCAGCCAAACATCCACATGTCTGATGAGTAACAGGTCATCCTAATTAGGAAGATATCATTTCATCCATCATGGAGCTTTATACCATTTGCAACATCTTGTTTGAATTTATTTTTTATCATTTTTTCAGTTTTTTTGTAAGGATATTTAAATGAACATGTGCTACTTTAAGGATGGTAAACATTGAATCAGATTTACAATCTTGAAGTTCTTCTCATATCAACTAAATTAAGAACTCTTTAAATGATTAGAGTTATAAATATTTGACAAAGTGACAAGATTAAAAACTGATAAAACAAGGACCCTGGACCTTACCCCAGAAGATACACTCGAACACCATACCCTTCTCTTGCAGGGACCAATATAGCATTCTCCTCTTATAAGGAAATGAAAAAGAGGCTTGGTATTTAGGTATGCATAGGAGCAGACAACATGGGGCATCTCTTGTGTATGACATTGCAAAACTGACTAAATTACACTTCTGTTGAGGACGTTCAGTGATGATCCTAATCTTCACAAATAGAATGGTGTTAAAGATAAGTTGTTTGGGAACTGAACTCTAAATATGAGATTGTTTGGCCATCAAAGACACATAAACTATAATATGTTCTCGTTATTGAGCTTAAGAAATTCTAATCTGAATACACAAAAGGTTAATAAATTATTATTATTATTATTATATATTATACAAAAAAGCTGAGTTATTCCACTAAAGCAATTGGTTATAGAGGAAACTCAAAAGCCCCGGCTTTATGAATATATTGTATTCAAACCATGACATTGCTCGAGTACTCGTTAGTTCAGTGTTTGCTCTATTGTAATTATCAATTCGAAGACTTTGTGATGAGATGAACCCTTTAACTCGCTTGATAAAACCAATTACAATAAAGCTGAATTCAGCTAGCCAAACATTGGCAAATTAAATCAAATTTATGTAATAATGAGTTTTAATAAAATGGACTAAGGGAGTTAAGGAACACCTGTTATAGTTGACCTCACACAAGCACTCAGGATTTTATATTTAGAATGATGTCTCTGTACTACCTCTGCTAAGGAAGTATGCGAAGCTTGAAAAATGGAAGATTTTAGAGAACTGAAATAGAAGTGTTCTAGAAAGTCTAGTTATTGAATATATTAGTTGCGTTATTTTGTCCGCGTTCGGTTAAAATATCAAGCCAAGAAAGAGGGGCATATTATAATGTTCACAATGACTGAGAAGGAAAGGACATATTCAATGATTAAAACCATGGAAAAGAGGAAGCCAACCTGAAGCCAACTTATCAATTTTGACACTTGTCAAAGAGCTATAACTTTGAAAGCATTAAAAGAAATATTGATTCTTTTGATATTCTGTGAACTCATGTTCATGATTTGCTTCAATTTTAAGCCTTAATTAAGTAGTAATTCTTTACAAATTCATCCATTCTTTGATATTTTAAATAAAACAAAAGAGAAAAACATTTTTAAACAGGACAATCTCAAATGAAAAAGGTCCTTGAAGTAGGTGAGGCTCATTCTACCTCTATTGGAGAAAAAAATAAACGATGCAATAATAATGAAGCATTCCACAATATTGAAAGCAAATAGTCCAAGAAATCAGAATGACTGAAGGATATAACTCGTAGCACTTCCTTCTGACGTTGTCGGTAACCTATCGAGAAGCAAATGATCGCCCTATTTGAAGGGGTTACATATCCTAGTGCATAATAAAAATACAAGAATAGGACCAGTCAAAGATGCATTTTTTCACCCCAAATAGGGATAAGTTATAAATACCCACTTTGGAGCATTACCAAAACCAGACCTCACGAGGATCATAAGATTCAAATCAAACAAAAATTGAGAATGAGCCTTACAACTTGGATTGTTGGGGCATTTTTTTTTGAAGGCCCATATCATCCAAGAATACAATATCATTGAATTTGACATACATGTATTTTTAATGAGACAGAAAGGTATAAAGAGTAAAAATGGTGAAACAGGGATAATGGAGTTTACTATATATGATCATTTTGTTCATCATCACAACATACAATTGAATTACTTAGGTGATTTCCCATGCATGAATGTTGGCAAGCCAAAGCCTCCCACTTATATTCCCACTGATCTTTATTCTTCGGCGTCCTTTCATCGCTATACAAAAGCTTTGAACACCATGCAAAGAGCTTATCTGGTTGAAAAATCTAGACAGAAGCCACAGGAAATGATGAATGAGTTGTCGAATGTTTAATAAACCAGTGACTATGGAGCTGAACAAACGTTACGATCATGTGGTGTTTCCATTACCCAAGACTAAGGTTGTCTTCTACAACCCCAAAGGTTAAAAGTGAGGAATGGTAAAGATTTCTTTCTACGAAAGAGGCGATGGAATTTTAACAGCAAAAAACTAGTGGAGCCAACTAAGGTTGAATGATGGGTTGTTGTTAAACGTATCAACATGATGTGGTACAAATAGCTTTGTTCGAGATCCGATTAGATGTAGAGACATGAAGAGAATTCGGATAGGCCCTCCCTCTTATGTGTTTCAAGAGTCAAATTAGAACAGATGTTGCTCTTTCATTGATCTTTATCGAGTTTGGCATAGTCACATACACAGTGGTCAAAGATGGTAGATCCTCCTTTTAAAGATGAAAGCTCTATTGGATTTCTATACAAGTTCACGCGAAGAAAGACAATCTTATTAGAGGTAAATTTTTACTTGGTGCAAGAAGAAGATGATTCAACTCAAGAATTATAAGAGTGCATGCTGATGCAAACAAAAAGTGAATCTGACTTAATCAGGAAGAGAATAAAGATCGCTCAGCCGTCTCCACCACAGATCAAGAAAACATGCATTCATACATGATACATGAATTTGTGTCATTGCATCATATATAATTTCATACATACATGATAAATTTTAATCTTATTCATGATAATGTCTGTAAAATTTGTTGTGAGAAATTTTTGTCTCTCTTAAGATGGTTTTCTTAGAAATTTTAATTGTGGTCTTCTTAGAGCATGTCTTCTAGAAAACTTAATCTTGTCATACTAAAAGTCATTTTCCCTTGAAGCTTCAACTTGACTCCCTCGTGAAGAGGAGTCAATCTTTCATTGTCATTCTTGACTTCCTCGTGCAGAGAAGTCAATCTTTGTTATTCCTGACTCCCTTGCGAAGAGGAGTCAATATTTGTTATTCTTCACTTCATCATGAAGAGAAGTTAATCTTTGTTATTCTTTACTCTCTCACGAAAAGAAGTCAATCTTTGTTATTCTTGACTTCCTCGTGAGGGAGTCAATCTCTGTTATTCCTGACTCCCTCACGAAGAGGAGCCAATCTTTGTTATTCTTAACTTCCTCATAAAGAGAAATCAATCTTTGTTATTCCCGACTCCCTCGCGTAGAGGAATCAATCTTTTTTATTCTTGACTTTCTCGTGAAGAGAAGTCAATCTTTGTTATCCTTGACTTTCTCGTGAAGAGGAGTCAGTCTTTTAAGTGTTCTCCTTCTTGAATTTCTCACAAAGAGCAGTCAATCCTTTAGATTTGGTATTCCTAAAGAGCAGTGAAACAAATCGATTCAGATTTAATCTTCCCTAAAGATTAGTGAAGTGGATCAATTTTTTCTCGAGTTTGATCTCCCCTAAAGAGTAGCAAAGCAGATTCTTCTTCTTTAATATTTCGTCTTCCTGAAGAGCACGAAGCAAATCAAGTTCGATTCAATCTTCCCTGAAGAGAAGTGAAGTGGATCAAAGATTTATTGGGCCTGATCTCCCCTAAAGAGTAGTGGAGCATACGCTTCTTCTTTCATATTTGGTCTTCCTGAAGAGCAGCAAAGCAAATTAAGTTCGATTCAATCTTCCCTGAAGAGCAGTAAAGTAGATCAAAGACTTCTCGAGTCTGATCTCCCCTAAAGAGTATGGAGTAAACGCTTCTTCTTTCAGATTTGGTCTTCCTGAAGATCAGTGAAGTAAATCAAGTTAGATTCAATCTTCCCTAAAGAGCAGTGAAGCGGATGAAATATTTCTCGAGTGTGATCTCCCCTAAAGAGTAGTGGAGCATACGCTTCTTCTTTCAGATTTGGTCTTCCTGAAGAGCAATGAAGTAAATCATTTTCGATTCAATATTCCCTGAAGAACAGTGGAATGAATCAATGTTTCTCGATCTGATCTACCCTATAGCAACAGTGGAGCAGACCCCATATCAAATTTCAAAGCACAGAGTTAGAACCGGACAAAAATACGTTGTCTTTTTATCTTTACCCTATTCTTATTAACTTAATAATAGGCAAAGATGGACATCTGTAGACACTCGATTTTGTCTAAGTTCTAAATTATAATAATAAAAATTATTATTATTACTATTATTTTTATTTTTATTTTTATTTTATTTCTTATAGGCCAAATTACAACTCATAGCCCAACAGCCCAAAACCGGGCCCAAAGTTTATAACAAAATCCAGTTAAAACCTGATGTATTTCAACTGACCCGACCCAGACCCGGTTGCAGTTACATCACCCACGTGAAGCCCCATGCCTTGTCATCCTGTGACCACTGCAACACCAACCGTGCACGCTATCAACAAGTTCCCTACAGCATTCCAGAACCACTGCTCCACACAACAATCAACAAAGAAATTTGTTTTTTTATTATAACATGTAATGTATATAAGAAAGAGAAGAAATTAATGTAAAAGGAGGGTTTTATTCGAACAAAAGAATGTAGAGAGGGGTTCGAACGAAAATGAGAGGATTAGGGGGCATAGTTCGAATAGGAAAAAAATAACCATTGTAGTTTCAAAAATAAGTGATAATAAAAGTTCCAGTTATATTTTTTTTCTTCCCTTTAATGGTAATTGTTTTCCAATCGAATAAACGTTTTGCAAAAGAAAGAAATACTTGAGAAGAGAAAATTTAAAAAGAAAAAAGTGAGTGATAACATGAAAGTATAAAAAAGAGAGGAGCACTTACGTTCGGCCAGAGCATCACCAGCGTTCGGGGGCTATTTTAAGGTATCCCAACGGTGAGAAGCTACGCAATGACGAGGAGAACAACATACTTGAAAATTGGCCCAATCTAATAGCGGACGGTGGCGATCAGAGCCCGAGAAAGACGAATGATTGTCGGCCTTTTTGTGATAAACAACGTATTTTCTCGCAAAACGAACCCTAGATTAGAGACGAAGAGGTCGGGACAGATCTCCGGGTAAAATTTGGTGGCCTACGGCCATTGAAAGTAGTGCGACGGCCGGCGATGGTAAGCTATCGGCAACTCGCCGAATTTCTAGAGAGAATGAAGACCTTCTCTCTCTAGTTTTTTAAAAATAATGAAAAAAAGAAAAAATGATATATTTATAGAAAACTTTAGGGAAAAATACACTTAGGTCCCCCTAAGTTTGGTGTGTTTTTGCAAAATGGTCACCTGCAAGGATCGTTTTTATAATTTACCCATTTATTAGATGTGTTATATATTTTTGGTTTAATTTATGTTTAGTCCCTGTACTTTTAGGCATGTTTTATATTTTTAGTCATGCGTCGTGATTGTTTAATTTTTTTAAAATACTTAGGGATTGATTTAGTGATTTTACCTTTTTATTTCTCAACACTAACTTTTTGGTTTATTTTCTTACAGGTCCTTCAACTTTATGCATGCTTTTCTATTTCGGTCACTAGTCCTTTGTTTATTTTAATTATTTAATTTTATGTTATATTTTTGCTTGTTTTAATTTTAGTCACTTTGTTTTATTCGAAATTACTCACTGATTTTTATTTTTATTCATTTTAGCCACTGTTTGTATTATGTTTATTATTTAATTATAATTTAGATATGATATTTTCAATTTATGCATTTTAGTCACAGATGGTTTATGATTGGGATATTATATTTATCTTTATTTCATTTTAGTCCCTTCCTGTTTGCTATCTTATTTTTAGGAATATTTTCATTTGAATGCCTTACTTTTAATGAATTTCATCTTGGTCATGAATGATTAAATTTGGTTTATTTACGATTGTAGCGCCTAATCTATGAAATATTGGTTATGGTTGCCCTGATTTCTTGTTGGTTGTATAGTTTAATCCTTAAAGTTAACATTGTTATTGTTTTGATTCATCATTTGCAATTTTGTTAGTTACTCGGTAGTTGTAATATTTTTAAATGTTATTTTACTCAAGGAATTTATAGAAACGCGCTTTAACTAACAAGGAATGTGTTTCCAAGAATTGTTCGAACAAAATAATATATTTTATTTTCAAATAAATTTTTTTTAATATATTTAATATATTTATTTTATCTAAAAACTTGGGCAATATTATTTTTTATGGGGAATCCATAGAAGTGCCCCCTTAACTAACAAAGAATGTATTTAGAGAATCGTTCGGGTAAAATAACAACCCTGATATTTTTTTAAAAAGGATCATAATTTAAATATATAATCAAATTTGACAATTTCAATATTTAGATGGCGTATAATCGCTTCGGTATCGATTTGGGGCTTTGTGGGGCTACTAATCCTTCTCCACACATAATCGACTCTCGAACCCTTTTCAAAACGAGTTTCTGGTTAAACGCATATCATTTTTTATCTTTTAAAATTATTTTTATTAAAATTATTTTAAAAAGTATTTTAGGTATTCGACCTACCTAACCCAAAGGTCGATGGCGACACTAAATTTGTTTATTTATGTATTTATTTTAAAACCCAATCATTTCTAAAATTAAGTTGGATCGCTACCCTGCATAGCCCTAAATATCTTAAGGACCGTTCCGACATACCTCACAAGAAATTAGATTCCACTTCAAACGAATTCTGAAAAGACTATGCTCCTTATCTACAACACCTAAAAGTACGGGAGAATCTGGCTAAAGTGGGCTTGCCGGATTTTAAGAAGTCCACCATCGGTCCCAAAATCATTAATGCAGTGTTAAAGGGTATGCTACAAACAGTGTTGCATACAGGTTCATGTTTTTACAAGACTACTCTATTTTTGAATCTAGGGATGTTTTCTTTGAAGATACTTTATCTATAAAGAAACCTTGATTAAATGAAGAAACACAAATCAAAAAACAGCCATCCACTTCTTCTAGTGTACCTTCTAAGACTTCTCAAGAGATTGAATTTGAGCCTATAAGAAGTAAAAGGCAAAAAGTTGAAACCTCTTTTGGACCAAACTTTATAACTTTCTTTATTTTTGAGATAAATGATTTAGACTTCATATTTGATCTAATAGCTCAAGTTTTTCTGTTGGATGAGGATCCTAAGACTTATGAGGAAGCTATAAGATCTATTGATGATAGTTTATGAAAAACACTATTAATTATAACTAGGATCAGTAATGTCTAATCATACTTGGAAATCGGTTGACTTACCTAAAGGATTTAAAACTATCAATAACAAATGAGTCTTCTAGAAGAAACTAAGACCACATGGTTTTATCTAGAGGTACAAGGAAAGGCTACTTGTCAAAGGGTTCACTCAAAAATTCATTCAGACTTCTTCGATACTTACTCTCTCATAACGAAAATCTCAATTGTCCGTGCATTATATGCACTAGCCTCTATTCACAAGTTCCAAGTATATCAAATAAATGTAAAGACTCAATTTCTGAATGAAGATCTAGATGAGGAGATCTATTTGGATAAACCTCTTGGTTTCGAGGCACTTGGTATGAAAGGCAAGTTGTGTAGACTTAAAATTATCTTTATGGCCTTAAGCAATCTCATAAATAGTGGTACAAGAAATTTCACGAAACTATTATTAGTTTTGGTTTTGTTGTGAATGGTTCAAATGCATGCATGTATTTGAGGATGTTTTGGTGTTAATTGTATCATCATAAGTTTATATGTTGATGACATGTTGATTTTAGTACTAACAAATATTCCATTAACAAAACAAAAAAATTTATTGTCTAATACATTTGAGATGACTGATTTGAGAGAAGTCGATGTAATCTTAAGAGTCAAAGTTACCAAAACTAAAAAGTGATTTTCTTTAAATCAAACACATTATATTGAGAAAGTGTTAAAGAAATTTGATAGTTTTGATGTCATTTATGTTCAAACTCCTTATGACCCTACCATACATCTCTTTAAAAATAAAGGAAGTAACATTTCCCAAACTGAATATGCTAAAATAATTGGAAGTCTAGTGTTCTTAATGAACTATACTCTACCTGATATTTCCTACGCTGTGAGCCGACTTAGTAAATATACTCATAACCCAAGTGGTGAACATTGGGTTACTCTTTGACTCTTACTCAAGTATTTTAAGGGTACGATGGATTGGAAACTTGAGTTTGTTGGCTATCCTGCAGTTTTTATAAGGATATTGTGACACCAACTAGGTTTCTAATGATGATGAAGTAGGCTCTACGAGTGAGTATGTTTTTTACTTTAGGTGAAGCAATGATCCCGTGGAAATCTACGAAATAACTCTATATTGGTCGTTCCATTATGGAGTCAGAGTTTATAGCTCTTGATTTAGCTGGGCAAGAAGTTGAGTGGCTCAAAAATGTATTAGCAGAAATTCCATTGTGGAGAAGATAGACTCCTCCAGTCTCCTTACTATGTGATTTACAAAATGTGATTTGTGTGGCTAAGAACCAAGCTTACAATGGTAAAAAAAGCACATTCACATATGAAATGAATCTGTTAGACACTTAATAAGGAATGGAGTACTCTCTTTAGAGTATGTGAAGCCGGAAAGGAACCTAGCAGACCCGTTTACCAAAGGATTAAGCAGGATATTGGTCCTAGATTTGTTGAGGGGGATGAGTTTAAAGCTCATTGGTTGAGGAATTCATGGTGGATACCCAAGTTAGTTATCTAAGTTCAATGTGGTCAAACAAAACCATGGAAAGACTCATAGTGTACAATTTTATCTACTTATCCCTATGACGAACAATGTACATGCACAATATGAGCTTGATTGCTCTTCTTAATAAATTCATAGCCCAAGATTTGGGTGGTCTTAGTGAGAAAGACTTAATGAATTTACCGACTTTGGTCGAATATATATTCTTATTAAGTTCATAACCTATAGTTGAGTGGGTGCCCTAATTGAGAATGACAAGATGAACTTACCGTTAGAAATGTTGAGTTTTATGAAAACTCTTAATGAATTCAAATCCAAAAGTTTGGATAGTGCTAGTGATAAGGATATATCAAATTCACCGATTAATGAGGTTGAATATTTATTCTTAATGATTTCTTATCCAAGAGTTTGAGTGGTTCGTTTATAATGATCTTGAAGTAAATCACCATAACCTTTGAGGGCTGAACCATTGTAAAAGGCACTTAATTGTTTCATAGCCCGATTTTAGGGTGGTTTATTTTTAGATAAACCTGATGAAATAACCAATGTAAGTGAGAAGGAATAGTCACCTTCTATGAAAACACTGGGCTATTTTTCTAATACACTTACTAAAATCCTGAGGTAAGATGGCCAAATATACACTTGTGTATATGTATCTTACACATTGAGGACTTCAGTGGATGAAAGGGTTAGTTGTGTGTTATGAGTTTGCCCCTATCTTAGAAAGTTAAAGACTAGTTTCACTTATCTAAGAGAAGGATTGTTCATCATTACTATGTACTAGTTCAAGATACATTCACTAGTACTTAAGCAACTAATTCCGCTATTGATCTTTTGAAAAGGTTATTTTTCAAGTTTCATAAGAATTCTTTCACATTAGTGGAGAAATGTTGGTGATGCTTAGATACTATCCCACATTGAGTGGGAAATACCACTGGAATAGGTATTTATAGTGTTTATTCTTCCCTCCCTTGTTGAGTGATAGAGAACAAGAGACCATTTCATGTGCCTCTACCACTGTCTATCTCGGATCGTGCTCATGCTCGTGGTAAAGGTTGAGGTCGAGTTTAGGTCGTTGATCGTGGCAATATGTGTCTTTGACACGTCCGTGCGGATACTGTCTTCTTTTTTTGGAGAAAATTCATAGAAATTTTCTAAGCAATTAAAGAATGTGAAAAAATTTCACTCTGATATTTATAAGCTGAACAGTGATTCGTTTGATTCAAATTTTCAGAGGGTAACAGTTGATGAATTAGATATCGTTTGAATTATGTCAAATTAAAATCATAAAAATTAGTTTATGAAATTCTATCTGTGAGTATTGAATGTATATGGACAATATTACAACTCTGTTCAAAGTAAATAATGACTTGTTTATTGTGTCAGCTACAAGATTAATTACCAGAGTTACAAACGGCTACAAATTAAATCATGAATTTGGACTTCTTTGGGGCCATGCTCATTTGTTTATGACAGTAATTTGAATAGAAATTAAATTCATAAATTAAATCAGATTTATATCTGATTTTTACTTGGATGGTTTTGTCCCTAAACTCAGTCTATAAATACAAAAGCAATGTTAGCTTTTCATCTCACTCAACACTCACAAATCCTCTCAATCAAAAGCTTTCTAAGCTTTTATTATTCTATTGCAATCAGAAGAGTAGTACCACCGACAGTTCACTCGGGTTTTCGGGTGTACGAATTCTCAGAGCGACCATGTAAACCTCGGGGGACGATCCGCCTATTGCAACGATTACACACATCGGGATAAATTTGTTTCACAGGACACGTTTTCAGTTGTTCACTTGCTGATTATATTTTTAATTTGTCATGTCAGTGCTAACAGTGTTATTTTGCAATATTAATTTCCAACACCTATATGGGGAAGATCCTTCTCTCAGTCGTGGTTGAGGGCTATTTATAGTGATCCTAGTTGGTGGCGTGAAATATAATTATTGTTATTCGTAGATTAAGGAGTTAAATATGTATGTTTATCATATCATAGATTTCTCTCTGGTAGATCATATGAACCTGTCAAAGATCTTCTATGTGCATTGTAGTTAACTCAAAGCTATAATGTTCTTATTGTCAGTCGATATAAATTCCTTCGAGACTTCAATAAATGATGGGGTTTATCCGAAGATCTTGATTGAAGAAGATTTCAATGTTTCCAAAGATATAACAAGTAACAATTACAATTTAAAACAATTTTACTATAATATCCAAATACACCTTATACAATGTAAAACTCTTTAGTTTTACACAGATTTAGGACCATTGGATGAGTGAAATAGATGACTGAACGAAAATGGTCGATTGAAATCCCCAGTGAAAAGTTCATAATGAGAAGAACTCGCCCGATTAGAAGAAATTGGAGCTCAAGATTTTAGAAGCTTAAACCAGATAAAAAAAAATGGTGCTTATTATCTTTGTTTTATTCCTGTTCCACAGTATGAGCAAAGAGGGGCAGTTGTAAACTCCATTCTTTTCATTTTTATTATTTTATAATTAAAAAAATAAAAAATAATATAATATTGTAGCAGTTGTGGTATAATAACCCCAATTAACCCATGTATCAGACCCCCCCCCCCCTTTTCTCCCGAAAATATGGGAAAAGAATATAAAAAAGGTGAAGCTTTACTCCATTTTCGTTTTTATTTTTACTTACATTTTCTTATTTTCTTGACGGGTCAAGGTGGTCCATAGAGGGGTGAGTTCTTCTCGGTCGGTCTAGTGACCACCGTCGAAGGTGGCATCTTTAGGGTAGTTGGGTTGCCGGCGTAGCTGTCCGGATTAGTGTGACGTTTAGGGGTGTGTGTTTTTTTGCTGAGGAAGAGGGAGAGTAGGAAGAGGGTCGGTTTGGTTTTCTTGGTCGAGGAAGTTCCTCGGCTTTGTGGGGGTTTGCGATGTGGATGAGTTCCTTACAAGTGTCGCTAGCATTGAGGCTCGGTTTTAAGCCTTCTCGACCATATAGAGAGAGAGAGAAAAAGTTTGAACGGGGTGAGGAAGCCTTCGATCGGGCTTCCTTTGGTTGTTTCAAGGTCGCCATATATATATATATATATATATATATATATATATATATAAACAGTTAGGATCCACTTACACAATGTAAAACTATTTTAGTTTTACAAAATTATGAACCAATGGATGAAGGGAAATAATGGCTAAGATTAACTCTTAATTTTTTTCTAATGAATATCTCCTCATTTTCTACTATTAATCTCAACTTTTTATTTTCACTCATCTAACAATCCTAGATCTATGTAAAATTGATTTATTAATCAATGATTCTAACTTCACTTTGTGCAACTAATTAACCATGTCCATTATCTCTTTATGATGTGTTTGAGTTATATATATATATATATATATATATATATATATATAGAATGAATGCCAATTCTTAATCATATATATAATAAATTGGAATTATTTTCAAATTTTGAACAATAAATCCTATTTTTTAATTATTAAAAATAATAAGAAAGAAAAAGAATAATAATGGATAAAAACTATCATTAACTTCTATCTTACAATTGAGTTCATACACTTGAATGATGATTGTTATTTCGAGGGTTCGGTTCTTCCGTACGATTATCCCACTCAAAAATTTACTGTGAGTGATATAGTAATATTTGTTACGTCGGAAATCATCATAAACATGAGTTACTGGAGTGTTGTTAAATATCCGCTGCTCACTTTCCATCTCAATCAAGCTTTCGATCACAATTTTGGAAGCATTTGTCACTAAATCAGACAAATTCCTGCGAGAATTTGAGACAAAAAAATAATCAATAATATAAATTCAAAAAAAAAAGTTAATAATAAGATGGTATAATTTTAAACTAACCTCCAATATTTGTCAGAAGAATCGTTTTGGAGTACTTTAGCCATTAATGTTTCGATTAGGGATGGACTGAGAGGGGAGATGGGGGCAGTCACTTCTGAAAATTTAAAATTGCCTAATGTTTTAGATTTTTTCTATGGGGGTATTTGGCAAACAATTGATAGCTAATAGCTAGTAGTTAATTCCAATAACTAGTTTGACTAATTGATTTGATTAGTTGATTTGAGAAACTGATTTAATTAACTGTTTATATAGAAGTGTTTGGTAAAATTTAGCTAATAGCTGATATGGGTAAAATGACAAATAATGTGTGATTCATTTAGTTGTTAAGTACATATATGTTTTATAATACATTAATCTTTATTGGGGTGAAATTATTCGGATAAAATGCTTTTAACAATGAATTAAAATTTTCTTAAGAAAATTAGTGAATATTTTTAAAAATTTTGAAAATATTTTTAATATTTACAAATATTAACCTTGTGAGATTGATACATACTATTAACTTTGTATAAAATATCAACACTACATTTTTTTTACTTTCATGTTTTACTATATTTTCTTAACTAAAATATATTTGAGAATCTACAACTAAAAATAGAATTAAAATAAAATTTTAGCTTAAATATATTAGGATGAAGGATATTTTATTATATTAGGTTTTATGGTAAGTTATGGAAAAAATAAGGTCAAATATGTCATTTAACATCTTATTTTGCAATCAGCTCTTTCAAACCGCTGGATTTTTCTGTGTTTTCATTTTCAATTTATTTTGCACTATAAGCTCTTTCAAAAAGATGTTTATCAAACACTAAATTTGGAGACTTTGACTATCAATCAACTATTTATGCTCAAATAAGCTAAAAGTTCTTCAAAAAGTTGTTTGCCAAACACCCCTACGTATTTTCTATTGAAAATCGGTTTTCATACCTTTGGAATTTTATAAATTCGTTCACTCTTAAAATTTTAAAAGTTCATCCCCTAACATAAAATCATGCTTCCATCTCATGTTTCAACTTTTGGTCAAATAACTCATATTTGATAAAAAGTGTTAATTGGCTAATGATCAACGTATGTTACTAATGTATCATTTTATTGTGTTAAATTATTGATGTGCCAAATACCATATTAATTAAGGTGATGACGTGATATATGCTCATCTACCGCATCCCATCAAGCTTATGAAATTAATCAATGAATAATGACGGATTGATTAAATAGCATCGAATCTCACCCTTTAGAAGAGTCGAATATTAGCCCCACGGTGTGTTTAGCCTCCTCGAGAGCCAATTTAAACCTCTCTACATCTTTCCAAGGCACGGTGCCATTGTTGACAACACCAAGTTGCGAAGGTTTAATGTCGCAGAAGATTGGGATAATCTTTTTCTTGGACTCTATGAACAAAGCCAATTCATGAAGGCAAAAGTGGGATTTGCAATAGTTCGGTGAAAAAACCGTAACGCCGATTTTACAATTCCGAATCGTGTCGTCGATGTTGGTGAACAATTTATCCCCGGGTTTCATGTTCTTGTTGTCCAAGAAAGGTTGCAGGTTTAGCCATGAAAGGTGGTCGTAAAGCAAGGTGGCTATAGTTCTTTTGGTGTCGATGCCTCTATGACTAATGAACACATCACAAGCCTTTTTGTTTTCCATGGGGCGATTTACCATCATCTTCTTCTTCGCTGGCGTTTGAAGAGAGAGCAAGCTTGACATGGCTGCCGATGAGTAACGTTTCATTGACATGTCTTTTGGATGAAGAAGGAAAAGAAAAGAATACTCTCTTAACTATGTATCTTCTTTCTAATATCAACTTTTGTTCTTTGTGGCTTGTGTCCTAAGAATGTTAATGCTCAATATATAGATAGATATATGCGAATGATTTGGCCCCACCGTTTAAGAATCTCATTTGTTAGGCTTTTTTTTTGTTCCCACTAGTAAGGGATCGCATTGACTAATTTGGATCGACCTGGATCGCACACCTGATTTTAATAGGTGAGTTTCCCATCGGGTATTTTTTGCATACACAATGACCGGAACCTAAGACATTTCTTAAGCGATATCAAGTTACCGACACCTTGCTTAAACAACATCAAGCTACATGACACTTGAACCAATTCCGTTGGTTTCATTTGTTAGGCTTTTAATTTTTTTAATAAAAAATCATTTTTTATGAAAGAAAAGAATGTTGCTCATAGGTATGTATAGAAAGCATGATATAATTGCATGAAAATATAATTATTATTTTAATAACTATAATTTAATTTTATAATATCATGTTTGATAATATAAATTATAATTATATAAATTTAAATTTTAAAATAATATTAATTATAAAATTGAAGAATGAAATTACTCGTGAGAACCGAAGGTTTTCAATTCTCATGCTCTTTTTTAAGATTTAAAGAGTGTAATTAGAGGTCTCTAATTACATCCCATTCAACAATATACATAAATTACGATAATCGTTTAAACACATTGTAATTGTGTAGTTAAACCTAAACTCAATTGCATGATGATTTTTCAAATGCGCCCTAAAATTTAATTTTATTCTTATTGAATACGTAAAAAAAATGATTCCTGTTAATAGCATTTTTAGAATTAATATTTAAGGCATCGATGATATAAAATTATATGCATCATCAACAAATAAGAAAACATAAAATATAAAGTGATAATATTTTTTATGACATATCATTTTGTTGATTGGCGAAATATAAAAGTATACATTGTCATAACATAAGATTGTCGAGACATAAAATGTGAATTCGACATGGAATAAGTCTAATCAAATGTGGTTATGCGATTTCACTTGTATAGTTGAATTGAACGAAAGAAAACAGGAAGATTGAACAATTAGCGACGACATGTGCTTGATTTTGACCAAATCTAAGGCTTTCAAAAGTTGGGAAATTTTCATGGCCCTTCAAACAAGTTATATTGCACTTCTATAGGAATATTTTTTGCTTGAGAGGCAAGAAAGAGAGGAAATTTTGACTATAAATATTCCTACTCTTTTACCATATTTTGAAAATTAATAAATAAATATTATACTGCACATGTGAAATTAGTGCTAGCTTACTTTGACTATTTGATCGAACAAAGCAATTCATGAAATTGACTTCGAAATATTACGTGCCAATTTTTTTTTAAAAAAAATCATATTGATATTCAATTTATTCATCGATTAATCTAGATCAGTTATAACAAAGATTCATTATTATAGGAACGATTCACTGGATCAAATTTTTTATATTCACAATGTTAGAATTCAAACTCATAATCTTATATAAAAGATCTACTATCTTATCATATTAGAAATAATATATCATATGAAAAAATTAATATGAATGTCACGCAAACATATGAATATTCGAAATTTTATATAATATAAATTATTAATATATTAAATTTATATAAATATAAAACGATTTTATTCTCAAATTAACTTGAATCATAAAATATTAGCTTTCACCTCATTAAAGGAGTTTCCTGGTAGGAAAATGGTAACTTCACTCGCTATTTCAAGACATGCACCGACCAAAACTAAGAAAAATAATTAATTTAAATAGAAGAAAATTTGAGTTTCATGCATTATTCAACTGCAAGCTAATTAATTAATTAATTAATCTATGGAAGTATAATGGACAATTACATTGATATCATCAGTACAACTGTACGAGCGCGCAAACATATACTATCTTAGAATCATAAATTTTTACCTTGAACGAGATTCAAAAATAAAGTATCCATTTAAATAATCAATCAAATTAATTAATTATAGTTATCGATATTTAAGATCATTGATTAAAGAGAGTATTATTTTTCTTTAAGATCATGAGTATGAGTGCACGCACATAGATTACCTTCAAATCATCCCAACTATTAAAAAAAGGAAATGTAAAATGCTATATATTCATAAATCTAAAGAGCAATAAATGAGGTTTCAACAATTTTAATTTCTCCACAGAAATAACCGGGAAGGCAATAAGATAGCTAAATTAAACCCAAAAACCAAAGCGGATTGGTCAAATAAAAAAACCCAAGCTTTAGCTATTTCATCGGCATTTCACATTGGAAACAAGGAAGAATTTTGGTGAAGATAGTTTTAGATATAGAAAATTAATAGGATGGATTACTTGGTTATTACTATTGTTTTAGAACTTATAAATTAAAATAAAGGTTTTGGTTATTCCAATTTCGGTGACTATAGTTTTTGGGCCTCGTGGTAGAGTTTGGTTTCGTTTTTTTTAGCTCAATAGGGCAACTAGGAAAACAAATTGCAAAATAGAGCACTTAGACTTTAATTTTGGGATCTACGATATTTTTGATATTATTCAAATATTCGAGGAGTAATATTTAATTACTTTTTACATAGTTTGTCATCTCGGGGTGAAGATTTTTGTTAAAATAATATTATTTTTTGTGGTATTTACTTTAAATTGAAAATAAAAAGAAAAAACATTGGAACTCGTCACATCGAAATGGCGAGTTCCTTTATTTTTGATTATTTAGCCGTTTAGAAATGTTTGAGAAGTAGCCATTTATAGTCGTTGGAACTCGTCATGTAGCCGTGACGAGTTCCAACGGCCATTTTGATAAATTTTCACTATAAATAGGAGTGGGTGAGTTGATAGAGTTATATAAGAATCAAATCATGCATTTGTGAGAAGCATATTTCACAAAATTTCTGAAGGATCATTTTGGATCTGATTACTCTGACATTGATGATTCGAATTCATGCTCATCTTCAGACAAGGAATGAGTAAAAGTGTCAATAAAGTCGATACTTGATCAACATAAGGAGATGAAAATGGAGGAAGAGGAGGAGAAGAAGAAGAATAAAGACTTACCAAATCGATACAACAAACGACTTATAGAGAATAATGAAAAAAAGAAAAATAATAGTGTAAAAACTAAGAGGAAGAAGAAAAGGAAAATTGGTTTATTTTGTTGAAAAATGTTTTAAACATATGTACGAATTTGTGTTTAGTTAAACATTGTTTATAAATAGTTTGCAATTATATATGAAAAGTTAAAAATGAAGATAATTATTGATATTGCCAAATTATCCAAAACAGGTGTGATCACGTGTAAATATATAGTGTTGTGACACGTAAATCTGTGCAAGTATACACAATCGATGCAATTAATACAGTAGTATATATGTACGAAATAAAAGTATATATGTACGATGGAATAAACAAATAAAAGTAGAGTTGTGGCAGATGGTATATATAAATGGTGATGGAATGTTGTGGCAAGAGTGGAGTGACGTGGAGTAGAGTTGCTTTGGTGAAAGTTGTTGGAAATGTAAAAGTGTACTGAGGCAAGAAGTTAAGTAAAATGCAAAAGTATGCTAAAACAGTAAAATAAATTGAACCTTGGAAAATGAAATAAGACTGGCAACCTCACAAAATCAAGCTTCTATGGAGGTAAATGGCATGGATTTTCTATGGTGATAATATTCTATGCTATGGATGATCTCTGCTCTTATGAGTATGTTGCCTGACAGGATTTGCTAAAAATGCTCCTACACTCTCTCAAGTAAGGAACCTAATAAAACTAATGCCACGGCAATTGATGTGATCCAATTCAGCAACATAAATGGACTTGTATCTCCAAACTTTCACAATAGTCAAAGGGGGATTTTCTTTAACTTAATCTTTCCTTATACCATAGTTATAATAATAGTTTACATACATTATACTTATAGCTATGATGATGATATTATGAATGTATGAAGTTATTATTATGAACCACATATTTACATATCTATATCTTATATCACTTAGCTTATAAATGTTTTCTTTTATAGGTACATGTTCGGCCACATGATGGGAGCTAACTTAAAGCTAGCATTAGAGTCCAAGAGCTATGAAAACTTGACTAGGACAACTCCGAGACAGCTCAAGATCATTTTGGGACGAAGTTGCCAGCTAACCCCCGAGCTCATAGCTGACTTGAGCTGGACTTTTGAGCTAACTAGAGACTTCATTTCAGCTGGAGAGTTTCACCATCATCTTCACCACACAAAGCACTATAAATATGGTCTAGGTCAAATTTTGTGGATTCGTACCTTCTCGCGAAGAGTTGACATTCCGAGAAGTGCCTTTTTACCAGGAACTATCCTAAGACTTATACACATGTCCTTCATCTATGGCCAGCTCAAATTCAGCTCAAACCTATGGGAAGTAGCTCAAATGATGAAAGGTTGCCTCACTCAAATGTGACCTTTCATAGAAAGTTGCTACCCCATTGATGCCATATCACCTAGAAGCAAGATGGATGCCAAGTCAGACCTAGTTGTTGCTCATCTTCACGCCAAAGAGAAGCCACACCATAATCACCCTATGCTGCTCATGTGTGTGCCTCATGACCAGCCCACACATGTGCCATGCGTATGGATGAAATGGGCGCCAAAATGAAGAGGGTTCTCTCTATTCGGCCAAAGCATTATCTTGTTTCAAAGTTGGCGCCAAGATGAAGAGCAAGGAGACCATTCGACCAAGGACATCTCCATTCATTAAAACAACATGTATTTACATTTAAAAGTCATGTATCTAGCCGAATGGACACCTATTTATTCGGCCAAACCTATGCAAACCTATAAATATGGCTTTGGCATTTCATTTGTACACAACCCTTTTGATAAATTAAACTCTTGTGAGATTATTCTCTCTTTAAGTTCTTTTTAGAACTATATCGATTAAGCAAGCTTAATTCTTAAGTTTGTGGCGTCATTC